AGATTCTTCCGTAAATCCAGGGGCACATCTGGAAAAACCGGCACAACCGGTAATCCACCTGCTTTTCCGGTCAACGCCTATAAATATCCCTACCTGGGATACAAAAGCCAGTCCCGTGGAACAACCGCTTTTCTCTCTCTTCGTCTCCGCACCGCACCCCTCTTATTCAGACCCAATCCCTCACTCCTCAAATTCTCAATCCTCAACGATCTCTCTTATTTACATCCATAAAACCTATAAAAGACTCTTGTTTTCAAAAATTTTCCCTTTTTACCCAATTTCTTGGTTAATTTTCCTTCTAAATTGCGTTGAATTCTCGTTATCTTTTTGAAACCCTAGGTTTTGGTTCTGGGTGTGCTTGATTTTGTCAGATCTAGGTTAAAATTCATCTGGGTTATCTTGATTTTGTTACAGAAGAGAAACCCATAAATTTTCTTCGCTAAATTTGTTAGAATTTTTGCGTATTTGGAAAGTGAGGAACAAAGAGAATGGCAGAGCAAGGTGGCTTGGAAAGTAGTCAGCCCGTGGATCTTTCCAAGCACCCGTCTGGCATTGTTCCCACTCTTCAGTAAGTCTCGAATTTAATCGTTCTCTGTTAAATCGCCTTTGGATTTGATTAAAACAAGTATATATATGTTTTTTACGTGGTCAAGATTCGGTCCAGAAGTAAAGACTGACTCTGGGCAGATACCTGTTTGGATCTTGTGTTTGAATTGGTTATTGGGGGGTAGATTTGAAGTATATGCTTTGAGCGTCCTGGTTCTTATGTAATTTTAATTTTCAAGGGTTGGTTTTAGGTTCATGATTAGTGAGGAATGAGTTTTGGGGCTGGTGAATCTTAGTTTTGTTATATGAACGGTTGGTGTTGGGTGATGGGTTTTGTGGACATGGGTCTTAAATAGAGGAATAGAGGAATGAGGAACTGGATCTTGTATGTATAGTTCTATTGCAGACTGTAAATAATTGATCGTTGTTAAAGAGAATGACAATAACTGTAGAAAGTAGAATTCAAAGTTGTAAAAATAAAATAAAAGTCAGATATTCTATATCATATGCATGTAGCTCGTTGCTTTTGGATAAAGGCTGGAGTTTGGCTTATGATTTCTTAACTGCTTTCAGTGGGAATACAATTATAGTGCTTCTCATTTTTGAGAACTACGTTAGTTTGCAAAAATTCTTTGTTGGAACTTATTACAGAACTTTCTCTGCATTTGACAAGAACATAACTGACCAGACAAAATATGGGTTTTGTCACCTGAATTACATTTAATGGAATTTAGTTGGAAGTTGGTCAACCTGGAGATGGTGCCTTATTTGATTTAGCTAAGAAGGAGTTGAAATCACATTTTAAATGTCTCTTTCTTGACTTTTTGTGCCATAATTGTTACTTGCTTTCTTGCATCTGGCTATTTAATGGATTGTTTTGTGTTTTCTTTTGATGTCTGTTGTGATGAAGATGTTGTTGGGTCTGGTAAAATATTTGGGTTGTGTTTTTGGTTCTCTTTAAGTAATGCCTATTATGGTGAATCTTATTTACTTCTCTTGTAATTGGATTTGCGGTAGTTTGTTTCTAGAAGTCTTAGCATAATTTGATTCTGTATTGTTTCTAGAAACATAGTATCAACTGTTAATTTGGACTGCAAGTTGGATCTCAAGCAAATTGCACTTCAAGCTCGTAATGCCGAATACAACCCTAAGGTAAGTAATGCCTTGCTATATTGTATTTGTTATATTTTAAGTTTGTGTGTTATGTCTGGTGGCTTCTTTCACTGTTGGTAATTGATTGCTAAACTTCTTTTCTATAATATTCTTGTACTGTTGTACAGCGTTTTGCTGCTGTCATTATGAGGATAAGAGAGCCTAAAACTACCGCTTTGATTTTTGCATCTGGAAAGATGGTAAGTATGTTTTTTGTGTCATTTCATTTGCATTGTTGTTTCTGTTCAAGTTCTCTGGCAAGTAATATTGCTTTATTCTATCCACAATCATAAATCTTTTGCATGTCAAGATTATCTTTTGTTTAGTATGTGATGATTGTCAAGTTGTTGATTTACTAAAGAACTATTGTATCTTCTTTTTCAGGTGTGTACGGGTGCCAAAAGTGAAACACAGTCAAAACTGGCTGCAAGAAAGGTAATATATATTTTGACCTTTTTGAATCTTGTTCCTTAAATTCCTAAATTTGTGTTAGAGGTGAGTAGCTTTGCCTAAGTTTTAATTGATATGTTTTATAATTAGGTTAAGTGGTGACAGTTTCATATTGGTTTAATCTGACTTGATTGTTTTTTTTTTGGCAGTATGCTAGAATTATTCAAAAGCTTGGTTTTCCTGCCAAGTTTAAGGTACTCACTGTCCTTTAATTCCAAAACATGCATAATTGCTTATGCTATCAAACATTTATTCCTCTTTTTATGTGTCTCATTTTTTAAGATTGTTATACTTGTTGTTATGGCAGGATTTCAAGATCCAGAACATTGTTGGCTCTTGTGATGTTAAATTCCCAATCAGACTCGAAGGTCTTGCCTACTCTCATGGTGCCTTTTCAAGTGTGAGTGACAATGGCATAACAATTTATTACAAATAATTCACTGTTGTGTAAACAGTTCT